AGAAAGATTTAACAAAACCCTCAAGGGGATGCTGAGAAAACTAGTGATGGAAAAGCCAAAGAGGTGGCATTTGCTAGTGGCTCCGTTGATGTTTGCAGTGCGAGAAGTGCCACAAGCTTCCATGGGGTTCACCCCATTCGAGATGATGTATGGATGGAACCCTAGGGGCATATTGGATCTGGTCAAGGAAAAATGGGAAAGTGGGAAAAATGAGGTACAGACTAATGTTAAACATGTTATTGAAATGAGAGAGCATTTAAGATTGGTGGCCTCTCTAGCCAGAGAAAATTTATCAAAGGTTCAAGAAGGACAGAAACGGAGATATGACGCCAAAGTTAAAACAAGACACTTCGAACCAGGGCAGAAGGTTTTGCTATTGATGCCTGCGGCGTCATCGAAACTATTTGCCACATGGCAAGGCCCTTATAAGGTGTTGAGAAGAGTAGGAGAAGCAGATTACGAGATTTGGATGCCGGACAAAGTTAAGAAGAAAGGCATCTTTCATGTAAATTTACTGAAAGAGTGGAAAGAAAGAGAGGCACTATGGGGAGAAGTAAAAGATGAAGAATTTGGCCCAGAAACGAAAGACTTTTTACGTCAAGGGATAAGGATAGACTTAGGGGATGATCTGACACCAGAGCAAGAGGGACAGATGAGGGAGATAGAACGCAAATATAAGGAGGTCTTCTCAGGGAAACCTGGAAATACTAAGTTGGTCGAACACGCGATTAACACCCAACCTCAGGTTATTGTCAGGTCTGGTAGTAGGAGTTGGCCTAGGCACCTAAGAGAAACCATTAATGAAGAAATAGAGGAGATGCTTCAATTAGGAGTAATAGAACCATCCTATAGTCCATGGAGAAGTTATCCAGTCGTTGTACCGAAACCGGACGGGAGTGTTAGGTTATGCATTGATTATCGGAGATTAAATGAGGTGTCTAAGTTCGATGCCTATCCAATGCCAAGAATTGACGACTTGCTAGAAAGATTAGGCGGGGCAGAGTATCTAACGTCGTTAGATTTGACAAAAGAGTATTGGCAAATACCGTTAAGGCCAGAGGATAAAGAAAAAACAGCTTTTGTGACCCCTAAGGGTCTTTTCCAATTCTCGCGCATGCCCTTCGGCTTGCATGGTGCAGCTGCGACATTCCAACGTCTGATGGATAAGGTGTTAGCTCCTGTTAAGGATTTTGCTGGAGCTTACATCGATGATATACTTATATATAGTAAAAGCTGGGACGAGCATTTGGTGCATCTAGAGAAAGTGTTACAGGTGCTGCAAGAGGCTCAACTTAAAGTCAACCCCGCTAAATGCAAGGTAGCTCGTCGAGGAGTAAAATTCTTAGGATTTCAAGTAAGGCAAGGTAAAATACAACCGGTGTCGGACAAGGTCGATCAGGTGACAGCCTGGCCCGTACTGAAGACAAAAAAGGAGGTACAAAGGTTTTTGGGGCTAGCGGGTTACTATAGGCAGTTTGTCCCTAATTTTGCGCATATTGCCGCTCCTTTGAGCGATCTGACAAGAAAGAAGAAGGCAAGAGTGATTCATTGGGGAGAAGAGGAGGCGAAAGCTTTTGAAGAATTAAAACAGATCCTATCGGAGTTGCCGAGTAGATATGCTCCAGATTTTTCTAGACCTTTTATAGTTCAAACAGATGCCTCAGATCGTGGAGTGGGGGCAGCGTTATCTCAAGAGAGAGACAATGTAGAATTCCCAGTGATGTATTTGAGCAAGAAACTAACCCCCAGGGAACAGAAATACTCTACTATAGAAAAAGAGGCATATGCGGTTAAGTGGGCGACACAGGCCTTAAGATATTACCTGCTAGGAGCACCATTTACGCTCATTACGGATCATGCTCCCCTGCAGTGGCTAAATAGAATGAAGGATGTGAATCCCAGGTTGACGAGGTGGTATTTAAGTTTACAGCCATTCACTTTTGAAGTGAAGTATCGCAAGGGAAGTGCCCATGCTAACGCAGATTACTTTTCCCGACAGGGAGAGACGCTACCTCAGGCCGAAGAGAGGATGGCCCACTCCTCAGGGGGGGCGTGTGAGCGAAGGAAGGAAAGTGAGCCGTCCTCACAGACATCTAAAGAAGAAGAAAGTGAGGGATGCGCTGTGGGCAAATTAATCAAACTGGACGATGAAGAGGGGGGTACTAATAGAGCGATAGAGGTGCTTCTAGCGGAGAGGACAAAAGACTGGGGGGAGGAGTCAGGAGACTGGAGATGGGACGAGGTTATAAAGGAAAAGAGGGGAGAGAAAGGGTTAGAAGGGGGAGAGAAGAGTACGTAGACAAGGGAGACAGGAGTAGAGAGAGAGAAGATTGCGACACTAGTAAAGAATTTCCCGAACCTAATGAAGGAAGATGGTCTGTTGCCTCTACCGAAAGAAATGAGCAAAGTTGAAGTCTGTGAGTTCTCAAGCGGATGGAGACCGGGAGTGGGTTCGGCTTCTCGCCCAATGATGGACAGAGAAACCCTTGGTGGAGCCAGCCCTTTCCTACCCAGGCTGGAGGGATCTGTAGTGGTCCATCCTTGCTGCAGGACTTCCTGCTCAGTTCTGACTGCGTCGGCCGCGAGTCAGAACGCAATCGCTCGTTTTGGGGGGAAGAAATAGTGAAAACCAAAGATGTGATGCCTGGGGTAAAACCCAAGAAATATAACTTGTTAACAAATGAAGAGTTGCCGGACCCGTTTGGTCCAGAGTGATGTCACAGACATTGGACAGGAAAGGTTGGGAAAGAGAACTACTTCTGACACAGAAAAGTATGGAAATAGGGAAGACAACAAACTGGGTAAATGGTTCCCCAAACAATGACAATATTCAGCTAACCAGGTAATACGGCAAACTGAGTCAGAAAAAGGAGTACACCATCTTTCAGTACTTGGGCAGGTGCTAAAACACGTTTCAACAGTTGCATCATATATGCCATCCCTAATCAGGCTCACATCCTGCATGGCTACATTTACAGCGTACATGATATATGAGACCTTTTCCTGGGGACTATGTTGCTGCTAGGGTTTGTGAAAGGCACACATAGGGGTTCCCCAACAATAGAGGTCCTGAACTGCGGCTACCATGGCTTATGCAATCAAAAGCCTAATACATCATGATGTTTGCATTCCCCTCCTCACCTTCAAATGCTACACTGATCCAAGTGTATTCACAGGCTTTTTCCCCAATCCTCTCCTTTCTCTTTTGGTTTTTAGCACACATATCAGCATTTTTTTGCTATGAATCCATCAGCTCTGCCACCAGCTGGAAATGCATGGAGATGAGTGCCCTTTTGAAGACCTCTCATACAAAAACCAAACTTTCTACTCTTTCAGCACCACTCATCCTCCCATTTGTCCCCTCGCCCGAAGACCCAGAGGAGCACAGTAATTCTGTGAAGCTTCAAATGGCACCCTGAGAGCTGGCAACTCCATGCGCGTAATATGATGGATGAGAATGTGATGAGTTAGAAAGTATACTGTTCCAAGCTCACCTCCGTTATGAATTCAGAGTGCAGTCTCAAGCAAAGGACACATTCTCAGTCCTGTAACATGATGGCAATTACACCACTGGCTTAACTCACAGAGCCCTTGTGAGAATTACTAAGGCAAATACATTGGGCACTTTAAACTCTTAAAGTTGGCGTGGAAGATGCTCCATAAATACTTAGCATTGTCATGCGTTTAAAAATAAAAGTACTAATCTTATGATGGCACTAGATTTTAACTTATATTATAATGGTATTATATGCTGGGTGTTTCCCCAGGTATCTTATTATAATGTAACTGACCGAATAATTGTTCAGAATTACTCCCTTACATACATTTAACTCAATTTTAATTAGAAACCATGTAAAAGTTGCAGGAGATCACGTTATCATGCCAAGAATCTTATCCAGAGTACAAACTGTCTGTGGTGCTGCCATATGACTGTGGTGGCCCTGGGCAAAATGCCTTCCGAGGGTCTCTCACACACGTAATCACTCTGCCTTCATACAAGATTTATCTACTCCTTCTCTCCCCACTGGTATTCTTGCCTCATGCCCCCCCCGCTTCTTTTTTTTTCTGCTCTTTGCCTCTTCCCTGAATTCTCTCTCTCTTAAAACATATCTCATTGTGTTCTCTCTGCCCCCCCACGGTTCCCGCCCCCCCAATTATCAACATGGCAACACATTTTCCATCAAAAGGCTGGAAAACGTCACAGCAAACCATGTGACCAGCATCTCAACTTCCCCAGACTGCCTCTCGTGTTGGTGGAGCCACCTAGAGGCCTCTTGAAAAAAAACACAAATGCTAAGTGTGGTTCCAGTTTCTTCAGGAATACACCAAGCTTTTTTCTAACAGTTAAAACAAAGGATGACAAGGGGGAAAATACAGTGCTACTAACCGAAAATAATAGGGAAAGGGAAGAGAAATGCAAAGGATGAAAAGAGGGAACGAGTGTGTCTGAGAGAAGGCATGTGTGGTTAAGTGCAAATCTATCTTGCGGTAGTGCAGGCTGCAGGATGCCAAACCTACACCCAGAAGCCCAACACGAGTGGTGCCCCTGGACCTTACCTCCAGCATTGAAGCCAAGCTCCCCCAGGGTGCCATGTTAAAGATGCCTTATCCTGACTGTCTGGACTTTTTCTCCATCAATGTGTCGAGTCATTTTTCCTAATTTAGACAGCACTATGCTAGCCTTATTTTTATATATGTGGACAAATCTTAACTGAGAAAAATGTTTATCGCATCTGCGATCCTTAGGAGATGACAGCTTTCTGCTTCATTAACTACTCATTTTGTCACATTATCCCCCCCACCAAAAAAAATTTCAAATTTTCTCTTCTTTAGCATTATTGCTGTGTTTCTAAATTTCTTCTCCATAAATTATAGCTTCCTTTAGGACAAACACTGAGAGTGTTTATAAGGTGGAGAGGCAGTCTTTTTTTTGCATTTTGTAACCTGCAAGGAAGGAGCTGAAGAAGCAATCTGGATCGCATTAGGCAACTGCAATTTACCTGGCTCCAACAATGAGTTGATTCCTATTGGCATCAAGAGCAAGCTGAGAGAAGTCCTGTACACCTGGATAAGTGAAATTTGAGACCCAAGGCTTCAGATCTGCAAAGAATATGGGGAAAACAGAGAAACAATGACATTATTTGACAAGGAAGAATTTTTTCCAGGATATTCAAAAGGATACATTTTATACTGAGCACCTGTCAACAGATGAATAGTTAGCAGTCTATTAAAGTACCTTTATATTTATATTGGGCCTGCCAATGTGTAGATTCAACGTCAAATCTCATTTTATAGGCAATGCATATTTCCTACTATTGCAATTTCCCCTCCAGATATGTAACCACTTCAAAGCACAACCAGATGTGCCAACAAAGCCCCTGTTTACGTTCCAATGATCAATCACAAAACAAAAGTAATCTAATTTGCAAAATGCAAAGTGAGACAAGCTTGTGCTAGGGCAATCAAAATATATTTCATCAGGGCAGAGATCTCTGCTTCTAATGATATCCTAACCCTATTGTCCAGTTTGAGCCCGACATCAATTTGGGAGAAGGCTATGGTGTATTCTCATGCACTGTAAACAGTGTATACCAGTTTTATTAAGATTATTATATACAGAGATTTGTGTTGAATTATTGCATGGATTACCACCAGGGTAGGATCCAAATTGTTAACTACAAACTGTGTAACATATTCAGCTGTTTGTATTTCTTTGCATTCAAAAATTAATTTGTGAGGTGGGGGAGCAGACTCTGGAACTGAGATAGATTTTGCAAGAAAAATATGCAGAAATTTACTTCTGCCTCCTCATGCAGACAGACCTTTTTATACAATTTTTTGTAAAAAAAATTATTTCCATAATAATTTTTTAAAGTAGGTATTCTTCCCTGAAAACATAACCTAACAAAACTAGCCTCACTGCATCACAACAGAAGGTGGAAATATTCCATGCTTATTGGCTCACATTTATTGCACTGGCTCCTTCACTGAGAGCTCAGGGCCATTTTTCTTTACTATAACTGCCAGAATCCTTTATAGTCGGCTAAGAAATCCTGGGGGTTGCAGTCCAAAGAGTAACCTTTTAGCCTCTGTGCAGTCGTGACAAGGGAACACGACTTAGCAACCTTTCTCAATAATTCCAACCCCTATGTTTCTTATGAATCTCTACTCTGATGAGTAAGACCCATAGTGCATTTCTGGTATGTACTGAATGATTCAAATTAAAAATATACCATGAAGAGATGTAAAAGAGGTCCTGGTTTTTTTTGTTTGTTTGTTTTTGCTATGGCATTTGTTTGACCATTTTTAGTATATATATACTCACTGTTGTCCTGCTGGCCCACATGACCCTCCTGTGCTAGTTCCACAGCAAATGGTATTCAGAGACATTGTGGCTCTGTTGCAGGAAGTAATATACTGAGTCACTTCTACCAACTAGCATGATAGTCCCACAATCATGTCTCAGTTAGCTCTTTCTCCCATATATGAGCCACTGTCATTACTCAGTATTTTCCATAAGCCTCTACCCTCTAAGAGCTGACCCCCAAAATCCAGATGTCGTTTTGCAGCAAATGTCTCAGTTTCAGTTACTGGTGGTGTCTTGCTCTCTTTTAAAGGATCTATCTTTAAAAAAAAGCAGGGAAAAATTCAGGATAACTCAGGAGGCTGTGCTGAACACATCCTATTGCAGCAAAAATTGCCAGGAGGGTCAATGATGCGCACGCATAGCGGGAGGTATAAAAATGTCATCTGCAGTATTCTCCTTGTTAATGAACCCCTGTCTTCTGTAACACAGCTCTTTGGCTGCAAAGAAATACATCTGAACCTAATCTACAAAATAACATGCTTCCAGCAGGTGAGCTGGATAATACGCACACTCCTCAGATGCCTGGGCATTTATGTTCTCTGATACGAGGGTCATTTTACAACAATGAACCCTTTTACAGATGCTGGTTTGATGCTCTAATTTTCTCTTGTCATTTCTCACCCACTTGAGTTTTTCCTTCCCTTGACTAAGCCATTATGGTATGGTGGCAAAAAAATATATAAGAGTTCTCCCCCTGCCCCTCCATCAACCACCCTACTTTACAGAGGTCCGGCTATCAGCTCTCTTTTTAAATAGCAAACACAGAAAGAATTACAGGCTAAGAATTATGGGGTGAGAAAGAAACAGGCTTCCCACAATTGTTTTACATGTCTGTCAAGCCCGTGGAATAACAACCAAGTGTCCTGATTTCTGTTTATGGCTGCAGGTGGCAGAGCATATAAAGGAAGCCTTTCTGATTATCAAATTAAAGGCTACAAGACACGTATCTTCACAGCAAACTGCAATCCTTTACAGGCATACAGGTATAATGGAGAGACAATTAAACACAACACGGCTCTGCCAGCTAAGATGATGTTACTACTAGTTATCAGAATTAATGCTCAACACCACCCTTGACCTTTCTGGGCCCACACCTTTCTGGGAAAGGAATGAAAATAAAGTGGGAAAAGAAGCAGCAGAGGAAAGACTCCAGGCTTTTTAAATTCTTCATATTAGATCTCATTACCTAGGGTCACAACAATCCCTGAGGGCCTTGCACAGCTTTTATCTGAAAGAATGAGCCTCAGAAACAATATGAAGGCAAGTGCCCTGCTCTGCATTAGGCAGCGTTTGTCCATACGGAGCCAATGTAGGTGAGGGTTTGCCTACATTTGACCTTTCTGGGAGAGCTGACTTAGTTCCCCTCCCCTTCAGAGCCCCCTCTTTAATTCTGGCTAAAAGACCTCAGAAACCAGACAGTGTTTACATTTGCAAATGTATCTCTATATAAACATCATGAAAAATGAATACCAGCACCACCACCCCCAAAAGGGTGGAAAAAGACCCCAGCTTTGCCTTGCTGGAAGCAAGGCAGGAAACCCAGAAATGAATAAAGTCAGCAGTGATCAAGGGTCCCTTTGTGTTTTGACTTTCCAGCCCATCTGGAGGGGAAAGAAACACATGTCCTATCCTTTCATTTCCCGCTGCTGAATGTTTCACAAGGTGCAAAACTTTTAAGCAACCACATTGCAGTGCAATGATCCAGGTTTACAAAAGCCTTCTACAGCCCAGACACACTTCTCTGTAAGAAAATCCAAAGGTTTTCAAATACTTAAAGTTTTGCATAGGACAGGAAAGAGCAATGCAGGGAAAGTAGCATGACCCCGTTCTTCAAGGCTGAGCCATTGTGATGAAGTGTTTCAAGTACTATACTGGTCTAGGACTGGGCAAGCCAAGGTTCCAGTCTCCATCCTCAATGTGAAGCTCACATTGAGGACAGTAACTTACAATTAATAAAGTTTAATTCAAATATTTAAAACTTGCTGCGTTTCTGGAAGCGTTAGGGGAGGGTACAATCAATGAAACAACTTTAACAATCTAAAAATAATTCAAGGAATACAAAACAATGCAAAGCAACACAAGAATTGAAATAAAACCTATAGTGTGAAACTTAAAATCAAAATATGATCTTACAAGGTATCACGTGCTTGGGGAGCAATGTTTCAACCTGACACCGAAATGAGAGGGAGGGCATTGCACAATCAGGGTGTTACAGCTGACAAGCCCTCCCCCTATCTCCACATGGTGTGTTGTAAAACATCCTTGCAAAAGCAACAGATGAAGATCTCCCGTAGCAGATCTGAATGACTGGACAGGAACCTATATGGAAGTAATCTCCCTCCAAAATTAAGATCCAAAGGTCTTTAAAAGTGAGCAACAACAGCAACCAATCTCCCTCCCTCCAAAATTAAGCCACTTAGGTCTTTAAAAGTGAGCAACAACAGCAACATCTTAAACCAAGTCTGGAAATGTACTGTCAGCCAATGTAATTCCTTCAGAATTTACGTAACATTGTTTCTGTTATGATCTTCCAGACATTTAGCTGCCACATTGCACAAGAGCTGCAGTTTCTGAACATCTTTAAGGACATCTCCATGTAGGGGTGCATGGCAATACAGTGGTGCCTCACAAGACAAATGCCTTGCAGGACAAAAAACTCGCAAGACAAATGGTTTTGGCAATGGGGGGGGGGGTTTGATGACTCGCAAGACAAAAGTTCCTATGGCCATGCTTCGCAAGACAAATGTTTTTCGTTTTTTGTTCCTGCCTCATGTTTCCGGTTTTTTAAATGTTTTTCTATGATCTCAGAAAAGTTAGTTTTTTTATTGAAGTTTTTAAAATCATCTGCACAGTATGTATGGCTTTAAAGAGCACTTAATAAACCCTTTGTAAACCAAATTTGACTTTGTTCTGACTTTTTTGCCCATAAGAATGCATTAATTGGATTTCAATGCATTCTTATGGGAAAATGCATTTCGCAAAACAAATTTTTCACAAGACATTAACCGTTGAATGAATGAAATTCGTCTTGCAAGGCACCACTGTAATCTAAATAGGAAACTTCTGTGGCAAAATTATCTCTGTTCTAGAATAGTCATAGCTGGTGGGGCCAACGGAAGCCAGTCATAAGTATTTTAAGTTGCTCAGGCCACTTTAAACATCAGTGAGAGAGACCAATCCAGAAGAACTCTGAAATGAGGCACCTGCTCATTCAGGGGGAACTGCAATTCCATTCAGAATAGGTCACTTACTTAATTTTCACATGTGGAAACCACTGATCCACAGTAATAGTAATACTACCTAGCAATTATCAAAATAAATTTGACAGGTGCGCCACCCCTGCGAGGTGGGACAAAGGGTCAAGAATTGACCCAGGGCCCTCCTCCTGGGTGGGAGGGGCTTTAGGTGACATGGGGGTTTGTGAGGCTACCGTGGCTCGATAGGAGGGGTTCATAGACACCGGGGTCCCCTGTGACCAGAGTGCAGTCTCAGGATTGGCTCCCCCGAAGTGACCCAGGGGCCCACTAAGGTGGAAAGCCAAAAGGACCTGGACACCAAAACCCCAGTCAACCCCAGAAGCAGTACATGAGTACAGATCATTACAATGCCTGAAAGAACCTGAAAGATGGCATATTATGGAAGCTCCCTTTTATAGAGAGAAATCTTCTGAAACACCGGTATGTAATCATTTGTGGAAGGGTGGCACCAGAGGGTTGCTATATATGATTACTCTATGTATGTGTTTGTTAAAACCCCTCTTTGATTTTTCAGGAACAAGTAAGTGGAACTCCCCTGAACAAAGGCAAGGCCATGACATCCATTGTAGGGGCAAGCCTTTATGGAATTCTGAAGCACTGTCTGACTGGCTATATGAAAGAAGCATGTGAGGGATGCCACCTAGATATGTCTGGTCAACAGGGACATGTCTGTCTGTCCTGGGGTACACATAGCCTTTCAAGAATGCTGGGAATGTTATGTGGAAAAATCTGTTTTAAGACTGCTTGTTATATTCTTATATTGGTTGCTCACCAGCATCATGTTGACTACATCACTAGGAGAACTGTGGATTATATGTCTGAGCTTTTTAAAAATGTAACAAATTCTAATAATACCTATTATTATTTTTAAAAATGTTACTGAGAAAATCAGATCAGAGTTCCATGACGATGACTTTTTTGCGATCGCCATTGTGCTTTGCTAAATAGTCTTTCCTATGGCCGATTTTCGCTGGACGATGTTTCAGTCTATGCTTCGCAAGACGGTGTTTTTTTTTCCCGGGACCTATGCTTCGCAAGATGACAATTTTTACAACTGATCAGCGGCTTTGCAAAATGGCTTCCCTATGGGCGATCTTCACAAAACGTGTGTTTTCAGGACCTATGCTTCGCAAGACAGCAATTTTTACAGCTGATCGGCGCATCGCAAAATGGCTTCCGTATGGGCGATTTTCGCAAAACGACGACTATTTTCCCCATTGGAACGCATTAAACGGATTTCAATGCATTCCAATGGGGAAACGCTTTTCGCAAGACGATGTTTTCCATAAACAGCAATTTCAATGGAACGGATTAACATCATCTTGCAGGGCACCACTGTATGTCTGAGCTTTATAAAAATGTAACAAATTCTAATAATATTTTTTAAGTTAATTAAGAAAATCAGATCAGAGACTTCTAGAGACTGTGTTAACCAGGCTTAAAGGTTATCATTATAAAACTTTTCTCTGTCAAGCCTGTAAAACTTGAATAAAAACAATACTGTATTCGCGAAGGCTTTCACGCCCAGGATCTAATGGTTGTTGTGGGTTTTTCGGGCTCTTTGGCCATGTTCTGAAGAGTGCTGTCCTCTGAAGATGCAGGACACAGAGACTGGTGAAACATTAGGAAGAACAACCTTCAGAACACGGCCAAAGAGCCCAAAAAACCCACAACAACCAAAAATAATACTTCTGAAAGGCGGCAATTTATGATATTTCATTGTATCTGGTTCCACACTGCTGCTACATAGAGCCTGGACCTATATTTATAAAAGGCCTCTGTATCCACCTTAAGCAGGCTTCAACAGTTCCCAAAAGCTTTTCCTGCTTAAAAATATAGCAGCCTCGGAAAAAGCCCAATTGTAGCCATTAAAGATTATTAACACACACCCCAAGCAGTTGTTATTCAGAAATATTCTTAGAGGTCCTGCATTTGGGTAAATTTATTGGTTTTCAGAGGCAGATTCATTACTATGATTTTACCAGCCTTTACCCCTATGT